TCCCACTTCGCTGCTGGGGGGAACAAAGGTCTTCCGGAGAGCGGACACAAACGCAGCATAGTCGTTGCAGGCAGGGGATTTGGAATTGTAAAGCGCAGCAGCCCACTCCGCCGCGCGTCCGGAGAGCAGGGAGGTGAGATGCGCCACTCGGGAGCGCGCAGATGGGTAGCGTCCAGGTTGGCACTCGAACTGCATGTCCAGCGTGGCGAGCAGACCATCAGGGCTCCCCGTCTCTCCGTTCCACCTCTCCGGCAGGCTGAAGTGGGGCTCCTCCCTAGGAGCAGAGCGGGTTGGATGCTGGAGTGCCGCGATCTGTTGCTGCTGATCGTTTGCTTGTTGTTGGAGAGCCGTGAGAGCCGTGGATAGACGCAGGGTGTGGTCGGACAAGGAGTTCACCTTGGTGTTGAGCTGATCTACCATGGAATGCAGCTGCACGTTCTCGTGGCGGAGACGATCGATCTCCGTCGGATCAACTTGGATCTCAGTCATCCTGTCGGGCTGATCAGACTGGATGAAGGAGACGAACAAGGTGAGACGTTTAACAGTTTTATTATTTCTCCGGTCGTATCTCTGTGAGGAAGAAACGATGACTGAGATGAGAAGCCGGTACCGGCGTCTTCCATATATAGCCTTGCTTGGCTGTGACGTGGAGGGAATCCCCGCGAGGAGCACGCTGGGAGCTCCCCATGAGGAGCATGTCGGGAGTTGTGGTCCGAACGTCAGCCGGGAGATACCTGAGTCCTGACACATTTAGGGTTCTGCAACCCCCAAGGTGCTTCACAACACAATCAAACATTCACCCATTCACACGCTGGTGATGATGAGCTACAATAGCCACAGCTGGGGCGCAGTGACAAAGGTTGCTGAACTCTGGCGCCACGGTCCCTCCGACCACAACCAGCAGCCAACGTGGGTCAAGAACATCTACAAAGTTCTTTATCCATTTACACACACGTTACAGAATTATACCCATTAAAGTGTAGGTATGCCATCTGTACCTCACTATCATTATTTTTAACAAAAAAAAAAAATAATAATAATCACATGGGGGCTAATTGTCTTCAATGATTAAAATGTGATTAATCAAGATCAATTAATTCCAAAGCATCTGATTGATTTTATTAATTTTGTTTAATCAAGTCCCACCCATATAATAAATAAATGTGTTATGGAAATTTTATGCCTATCATTTCTTGATCATTGATTCAATCAAGTGAATGTAATATGCATTACTCTATGCCTCTTTGCATGCTCACTTATTCAGACACACCCACACAAGCTACTCACACACACACACATTCTTGACTTCCCACACACACACACACACACACACACACACACACACACACACACACACACACACACACACACACACACACACACACACACACACACACACACACACACACAATCTCTCTCTCTCTCTCTCTCTCTCTCTCTCTCTCTCTCTCTCTCTCTCTCTCTCTCACTCACTCACTTACTCACTTCCAATTCTTTCTTATCTGTTTGTTTAAATAAAGTCTGTGACCAGATGTTCGGGGCATTTTGCCTCGTGCATAAGCCACAGTTATAGTTAGTTTTACTTGTTGTCTCATTGTCTCCTTTTCTCTTCGACTACAGGAAATGGGTTATTGATAAACATATTGATAAAATCCTTAACATAATTTGGTCCTTTGAGAGCCGGGGTCCCATCACCTCGCGACGCCAGAGGACAGTCGACAACCTAAATCTCCTCCAGTGCTGAGCTTTGCTGGGGCGTCGGTGTGAGGGTCTTGACGTCACTGGGAGGAAATGCGGATCCACGAACTACTCAAGACCTGAGTGGAGAGATTTCGTGAGACAAGTTTGTAGTTTGTTGTTTTGTCTTGTGGTACCGAGAGAAAATCCTAGATGACCAGAGGTTAAATAGGCTTTTGAGCGTTTGGCTGAAAATATAAATGCAACTCTGTTTTGGACGTGTAAACAGATTCCTGGACAGCTTTATTGGCTTGGTTACGCTACTCTAGTTTTGGTAAATCGGTATGTT